TCCCTGCAAGGCACCAGCTGGATGATGCTCATGCCTTGAACCCAAAACCTGCTCCTTTGATCTCAGGGACTCATTGGGTCAGTGTTGGCCTTTCCCTCTTCCCTTTAGTTCACATCCAGAGAGCTCGACCCAGTGCATCTGCTCCACCCCATCACAAGGGGCCACATCCACAAGGACCATTGGCAAAGCTGCAGCTTTCCTTTCTGCACTTGCCTTGGTCCCAAAGAACATGACAGCACTTTAGAAGTGATGCACATGCTGCTGTCTGGGAACAGAGGCACTGTGAGGCTGGTCAGCAAGGGAGGTGCTCCTGGGACCCCTCACAGACACAGAAAACAAGTCTCTCCCAAAGGAAGCTAGAGGCAAATCCCTTGAAACTGAAGTGAGATAATATTCAATGCCAGCAGGAGTGAATTCTCTCTCCAGAAAATCAGTGGCTTTACCTTCCCTCCTCTGATAACAAAGTCTGTGGAACCACAACCTACAAGCACAGAGCCAGCCCTGGCAGGACAGGGGCACGTGGAGAGCTGGGTGACCCTTTTTCTTCACATGGTACCCCAGAGAGGTCATCTCTGTGCAGCACCTCTCTTGCACATCCATGAACTGGTGCAGGGTGTGCTGGAGAGCTGGAGACAACCTCTTCCTCCACTCCTCCTCTGTCCTGTCTGCTTACCTGACAGAGAGAGTGAAATCTCCTGGGTTGCTCTTACTGGGTCGTGCCAGAAAGCTGCCATGGACACCTCTGGTCAGGAGCAGCTTCTCTGCCTCAATTCCACTGATGTTGGGATGAAACCACCTGCAAAGTGCAAATGGGACACGTGAACATCAGCCTGAGCCTGCCCCCACTGCCCTCCCTGCTGCCTGAGGGGCAGACCCTGGCTCCCTACCCACAAGGCAGGCAGAGAGCCCAGGTCCTCTCTAGCAGCTCCCCATCCCTCCTCCCACCACATCACAACAACAGCTTGCACTCCGAAACCCCCTCCATCCAGGGGAAAGTCTCCTCAGACATCCACCAAGAGAGGCTTCTTCCCCAAAGGACTTCATCATCCTCTCTCCAGATCAGCCCTGACGCTGCCAGAGGATTTATGAAGTACAAACACAACAGCAAGTGCACGTTTGAGGATCTCCCTCTTTGCCTGGTCCACAGAAGACAAGAAGTGCTCCAGCCTCAGCTCAGGCACCTTGGGCTCTTCAGCTGAAGGTGAAGCAGCTGCATTTTAGCTTGAACTCCTCCTGGCTCAAGCTGTGGTGCCACAGCCACCTTTCCAGAGAGGACAGAGGAAAACAGCCCCAACCTCATGACTGCTGTGCCCAAAGCAAAGTTCTCCACGTGGGACCAGCACGGGGCCAGGGAAGCAGCAGCAGCAGCAGAGGAGATGCTGCTGGGAGCCAGCAGAGCAGCTG